TTTGTGGACGAGTTATACATGTTTGAAAATGCAACATTTTCGCAACAGATTTCTTGGTTATGCGTTTCTTTTTTTTAATGGTATATATTTATGCGGTCGAACCCTGTTGTCCGAACACAAGGAGACTAGATAATGTTTAGATACAGCGTCGACAGATCCAGCTGTGCCTTATCCTTCTTTTGAGCTGATGCAAAAAATCATTTCCTGAAGTCTATTTGTGGACGAGTTATACATGTTTGAAAATGCAACATTTTCGCAACAGATTTCTTGGTTATGCGTTTCTTTTTTTTAATGGTATATATTTATGCGGTCGAACCCTGTTGTCCGAACACAAGGAGACTAGATAATGTTTAGATACAGCGTCGACAGATCCAGCTGTGCCTTATCCTTCTTTTGAGCTGATGCAAAAAATCATTTCCTGAAGTCTATTTGTGGACGAGTTATACATGTTTGAAAATGCAACATTTTCGCAACAGATTTCTTGGTTATGCGTTTCTTTTTTTTAATGGTATATATTTATGCGGTCGAACCCTGTTGTCCGAACACAAGGAGACTAGATAATGTTTAGATACAGCGTCGACAGATCCAGCTGTGCCTTATGATGGTCCCGATCAGCCAACAAGATGTTTACACCGTCATCAATGCTTCAGTGATTAAAGCTTTTGCTAATAGTATGACATGTCGCTGAATCAAGGCATCCGTTACACAGATACAACCAACAGTCTTTGGTTTTTCACACATTCCTCTGTTGTTATGGTTGGGCGCCGGGGTAGCCAAGTGGTTAAAGTGTTCGTTCGTCACACTGAAGACCCGGGTTCGACTCCCCACATAGGTACAATGTGAATATTGCTACAAACTAAACACGAGCTTGGCAATCAGTCATGTTGGCCATTCCTCAAGACCTCAAATCCCATGAGGCATTCACATTTATATCAAGAAGTGCACAGCCTTTTCTCACACTATCAGTATATCACACACATAACATTTGAAACAACCCCCCCCCCCCCTCCTAAAACCCAACTAATTTTATGAATCCGATAGTTCCTTAAGTATTTTCCTGAAAATACTATATTCAATGCAAAGGATTTTTTAACTCAGTGTTAAAATTTATTTAATTGTAAGTAATTTAATGCGAAATTTGATTAATGTGAGGAAAATGCTATATTCTAAAATTAAACAATATTATTAATAATACGTCTACAGTGAAGTGTATCTTATACACTCTGAGCGAGCGTATTCCAAACTGCTGCTCATATTACCAAGATGCATCACATAAGAAACATTCATTTCTGATATGCGTAATAAAGTTGAGGCATGAGCAAGCTACCGTAAATCTAGAGAAAATAGTGTCAGCTCCCGGGTCAGAGATAGATAGACTAGGATATTTCTATGGTCTACCTGAACAGCAAAATGAATCATTTGAGTCGTGTAAGGATTATATTGTGTTAGTTTTGAATCGACATATGGAGTGGAGTAAAGGCGATATTTTATGGGCGCATCGCATAGGTAGAAACTCCAAACCTGATAAACCACGCCCACTTATAACCAAGTTTAATCTCACTGACGAGAAGACCTCTGAACTCAAACATCGAGACACATTGAGAAGTAATGAGATAGGCGTGGCTAACGATCTCACAGAGAGACACGTTGAGAAGTAGTGGGACAGGCACGCCTAACCATCTCAGAGAGAGACACGTTGAGAAGTAGTCAGATAGGCGTGGCTAACGATCTCACAGAGAGACACGTTGAGAAGTAGTGAGATAGGCGTGGCTAACGATCTCACAGAGAGACACGTTGAGAAGTAGTGGGATAGGCGTGGCTAACGATCTCACAGAGAAACACGTTGAGAAGTAGTGAGATAGGCGTGACTAACGATCTCAGAGAGAGACACGTTGAAAAGTAGTGAGATAGGCATGGCTAACCATCTCAGAGAGAGACACGTTGAGAAGTAGCGGAATAGGCGTGGCTAACGATCTCAGAGAGAGACACGTTGAGAAGTAGCGGGATAGGCACGGCTAACCATCTCAGAGAGAGAAACGTTGAGAAGTAGTGAGATAGGCGTGGCTAACGATCTCACAGAGAGACACGTTGAGAAGTAGTGAAATAGGCGTGGCTAACGATCTCACAGAGAGACACATTGAGAAGTAGTGAGATAGGCGTGGCTAACGATCTCAGAGAGAGACACGTTGAGAAGTAGTGGGACAGGCACGCCTAACCATCTCAGAGAGAGACACGTTGAGAAGTAGTGAGATAGGCGTGGCTAACGATCTCAGAGAGAGACACGTTGAGAAGTAGTGAGATAGGCGTGGCTAACGATCTCACAGAGAGACACGTTGAGTAGTAGTGGGACAGGCACGCCTAACCATCTCAGAGAGAGACACGTTGAGAAGTAGTGAGATAGGCGTGGCTAACGATCTCACCGAGAGACACGTTGAGAAGTAGTCAGATAGGCGTGGCTAACGATCTCAGAGAGAGACACGTTGAGAAGTAGTGAAATAGGCGTGGCTAACGATCTCACAGAGAGACACGTTGAGAAGTAGTGAGATAGGCGTGGCTAACGATCTCACAGAGAGACACTCTGAACAGCAAAAAGAGTCGTTTAAGTCCAACGACTCAGTTTTGAATCAACATGTGAACATTAAGGAGTGGAGTAAAGGCGATATCTTAAGGGCGCATCGTATAGGTACAAACTCCAGACCCGATAAACCACGCCACTTACAGCCAAGTTTAATCTGACTGATGAGAAGACCCCCGCACTCAACATCGAGACACGTTGAGAAGTAGCGGGATAGGCGTAGGCTAACGATCTCACAGAGAGACATGTTGAGAAGTAGTTGGATAGGCGTAGCTAACGATCTCACAGAGAGGCACTCTGGCTGACCTTCGTAGTAAAGGACTCGATGCCTACAAGAACGGAGGACTGGAAACAAGACCAATTAACCCTCTCAGTGCAAGGCAGCGATACACCTTGCAGATTCCTTCAAGCCAAGCCAGTGTCTAGAGGTCCTGAGCTGAACAAGGCACTGACACTGACTTCATCTCCCCACCCCCATCAGGCGCCTTTACAGCCCTGACCCCGGGGTATATACATCAACCCCGATCCCCAGGAGACAGCAGTTAGTCACGGAATATGCGCCCAACCCCGAGGGGAGATCTGTTAGGGAGGATGACAGCTAGGCCCGGTCCATATGTAAAGAACAGACCAACCAGGTGCTGAGGTAACTGACTTTAATTCCCTACTTAAATATGTTACTTGGAACATCGAATGATCTAAATCCAAAATCGATGACACTGATTTTATCGAATCCCTTTCAAGCTAGATAAGTTTAGAGCACTTACCCAACTAAATGCGTATGAGATATACTAGCAAAAGCTTATAAGATTGCCAAGGCTGGTAGAGTCTCGGCGGAGTTATACGTGGAGAAACCACGTGAAAGTGGTAAGCCACAAAGAGTGAGTGAGTGACTTTGGTTTAACAGCGTCGTGTTCGAAACGTCGTGTTCTATACTTAAAGAAGCTGCCTGCCATATATACTTGTTCTATCTTCCAACTTCTAAAATATATATCGTCATATTGAAAGCCCAAGGAATGAAGCTAACAGAACTATGTTGCCTCGTGTAGATTTTAGTAAGGATAGTGACATGGACGGTGATATATTCAAATACACGCACGTGCGTTTGTTGACATAACGGCTCTCATGGGTCTAATTAAGTGTATTTCTGACGATCTTGCGGGCTTGTTAAGGAGATTGTATGTGCGTTTCCAACATGTGTAAATCGCTACGAGTTTAAAAACAATAATATTATATCTGTATGTAACTAATCAACATTATTCTTTAACATCGGGTTTATATTTCACATCACAGTGGATATTTTAGTCTCACTTTGTTTTTGTCTTTCAGCGAATTCATTTAAAATTCCACCAGGGGTGTGACAGCAAGGTTACACGGGTGTTCAGTTTGAGAAATAGTTTAAAGTCATTTTGAGTATCTACTTGGGATTTAATGTAGCTGAAAACAGATTATTTCATTTGTATATTAACCAAAACAATTCCTATTTGTGAATATTAAATCCTATTTTGAAAATTAATATACATGTAATTGGAAATATAAGGTGAACAGCTGGTAATAATTACATAAGAATATGTCTTTAACAAATATGTTTCTCTCCTTCTTTCAGTTGTATCAAAGAGGTTTAATTCTTCGAAATACAAATACAAAAAAATATAAATACAAGCACACACACACAAAACCCAACCCCCAACCCCACCCCAGGAATACAATGTTTGAGAGCTTTGGTGATATTAAGATACATTTGCATCAAACATGGATATAGTTACCGTTCTTCTTTAAATCAGTTCTGATGTTCATGCGCGAATATGAAATCATTCCTAAAAGACACGAGTCGCCATTCGGCTTGTCCTGTTATAACACGAGTTGAATTGGTCAAGTATGATGAACCTGAACCTGACAATGTTGGAATACACGAAGAATAACAAAGGGCAGATGACTCTGATACTACCATTGTTGACATGGGAGCAGAGGCCTATTCCCTCTCGGGAGGGGAAGACTGCAACCCCATTCCCGACCAGGATTCAGAAGTACAAGAAGCCCAGCTAACACAGTAACGTTTTGAAAAGGTTTTGGAAACGTTTCCATTGGTTTTAAAAACGTTCAAAAAAACGTTTTAAAACCTGATTTTGTGGAGTTTTTTTACGTTTTAAAAACGTTTTGACGAAACTTCGGCGAGAAACATTAGAAACCTTCTAAAAACGTTTTGAAAACGTTTTTCCATGGGCTTTCTAAAACGTTTCAGAAACGTTTGGGTTGAACCTTTTTGCGATTGTAGAGATATCAGAAACGATATCATCTTCTGATATCGTTGCAAGGTTAGTTTACCACCTGTTTTGAAATCCCGTCCAAATAAAATACATACACGTAAGTAAATTTGTTAATCATGTAATCCGATATTATTAGTGAAAATGAAAACAAAACAATGATATGTTTTAAAGAATACTTCATTTCATCAATACATATGGAAGATAATCAGTCATCTTTGCCATCGGGCTTTTCTTGCGTCTGTGTTGGCTTCTGAAATAAACACAAAGAAATTCTATAAATATTTACTGTCTCTTCACTCTTGATGATGCTAAATTACTGCTACATAATGTTTCTGTGTCGTGAAACTATGTTGAAGAGTACAAATTCCCACCAGTATTTATCGAAAACTTACAAAATAAATACAGATAAAGCAACCTCAGTAGACAATTAATCATATACAATAGGAATTTATTACCAACAAAATTAATACAATTTGTCAAATTGTGCAAGTGATTTCATCTGATTATATTGTATGATTCTTTCCCAAAATACGGGCATCATTTACATAAGGAAGCTGTTACTCACAATATGTTTACGGAACTTAATAGTGTGTATTTCTTACATTTGGCCCAAGTTATAAATGATAAGTTGCATTTTAATGGCAGGATGAACTTTTATTTATAAAGTCGCATGCTACATTTACTTATGAGGGGGCTGACATTTGTTGTGAGGAATCATGGTCGGGTTGTTAGGGAAGTGACGTATTGTTTACTATAAAATAACGAGCTGGGGTCACCGACTCTAATGTAATATTATCCCCCGATTTCCTGTACATCGCTGATAAGCAAGAGTGTCTACGTGACCAAATCTGTGTCGGCAGATTGGATACGGGACAGAAGAAACAGAGAAAATTCCTATATTTGAACACATATCTACACTTTGGTCATTTAGTAAATGGTAATATTATAGTTACGTTAACAGTCGACGTTTCTTTGTAATTTAATTGATATCACCATGCACTCTACATTGCATTATTTGCAAACACATATACACTGTGACATAGTTTGGATATGAATGTGCATTTATTAATTTACCACTCTGCAAACCTATATCAACAGGCTATCTCATTTTGTTTGTACTATTGATTTTGATCTTGTGAACATTGATGCTCATGTAGTATACACTAATCCTAACACTACGTCACAAAGATCGTATGCCACAAGTAATGTCTATCACACATATACAATGTATTGAGAAAACATCATAGGAATACGTACAGTTACAAACAAAGGATGAACGTTCACAAGGCAAGATATAGAATTTGACTGAAGAACAATAATGTGAATATACATACCTCCTTTTAGAAAACTGTCGTCTTGTCACTAGAGTAAAATGTACCGTCCTTCATCCAACAATGTGATGGAACTTCCCGCCGGCTATGTACAGTGTCCGATTTTGAATGCCCGGGTTCCTGCTCTGACCCGATAAAGTATCTGGGAACATTCCTATAAGCTGACACCATACAAAAGACAGCAAGTTGTCCACGCAGAAAAGGCTGAACTTAAACGCACCGCAGTAAACGAGGATAATATTTACAATACAATGTTGGATCTGTAGTAAACAGTACAGTACAGAAATAAATGATAGTAATGAAACACATGACATACTATTCCACTTGACCAAATGTTCACAACAGTTTTCAAGTTTTCTCACAAATATTTTTGTACAGGTGTAATTTCATGACCATTATTTTGAAGTTAATGTACATTCCTGTAGTGAACGGAGACATTCTTATCAGGAAAATGTAACCTTAAAATGTTCCACTAACGATCTTATAACGTTGTGATTTGGTTTCAATCAAACTTTGGGAAAACCTTCGCTAATGTTTCAAAAACGTTTCTAAAACGTTGGTGTGTAGAAGTTTGGATTTTGTTTCTTGATAACGTTTTAATTACTTTACTCGAAACGTTTTCACAACGTTTAAAATAACGTTCAGAAAAAACGTTTCAAAAACATTATCAAAACGTTTTCCTGTAACATGTCCATGAGAAACCACTAGAAACGTTTTGTGTTAGCTGGAAGAACAGTGACTACATGCAAAGATGTCTCCGCACAAACCCTGATCACCAGGGAGCTAATCACATCAATGCAGAACATCATTGACATGGAAACTGTTATCCCAAAACTCTCATCTGTAGTAAGTCAAACTTTTCATCAGTCATGTTTATGAATTTTATGGAAGTTTGGACTCCGGCCTGAGTTTGTGTTAAGAAATATCGAAAAAGTTTCGAGTGGAGTTATTCAGAATGGCTTAGTGTTAAAATTGTGTAGATTTCAAAGTTGTAACAGTTTGAAAAGAACAGTTCTTTCTGATTGGGTTTGTAGACTAGTTGGGTTGAAGATGCCCTCACTCGGAAAATATACCGAAGACTGGAGTGTGATAGGAAAAACCGTGGTCAAAAGAAACAAAATTACAGAAATGAAATTTTCGATGTCCCAACTATTGCTGAAAAAAAACTAGTTGTTCCCGAGAAAAGTTTTCAACAAGAAGTGGAAATGGAAAATGTGAAGAAACATGAACTTCTTTGAAAGAAATGTTATTTATTGCTTTTGGTCATGCTGTTGTTGACTTTCTGTTAACTTATTGAAATAACTATCTATATTTTACATCTTTTCTACCAACCTTTAACTGAACATTTATCGTTGAACATACTAGTTCCCTTAACCTTCTTATGAACAGTTGTAATCATGCAAAAGATAATGTAATGTAATGCAATCTTTCAAACGCATACTCAACCCTCAAAGAATTCTTCTGAAAATACCAGGAATATTTATTTAATCAAATTCAGGTAAAATTAAATTCCGTCTGTAATAGAAGAAACATATGGTTTTCTTTAAGGCATGAAAAAGAAGCAAGTATTCATGGTTTTCTTTTATCAGGGCCATTGACTCAGCTATGTACCTCTGAAATCAGAAGACATACAGCAGTTACACCTGATTTGGATTGTGTTATCATTTAGCATAGTTACTTCAACACTTTTGAGATTGTTGAACTGACTGAGTTTGGTTTTACGCCGTTTTGAGCAATATTCCAGCAACATCACTGCGGGAGGTGGTTGAAAGAAAAATGCAGATATCATCTAACATCACTTTTGAAAATATTTAAATATTTTTCTCGTGATGCCTTATCTATGTTCTGTATATGTTATATATGCCAATATGTTCTTGTGTAATAAATAATTGTTTGTGCATAACAATGGCTGAAGTATAGTTCCACACCTCAAATCATTCCCCATTAAACTTAGGTGATGTTATGACTATTGCAAAGGAAACTATTACAATCACAATTTTATAAAGAATATTACCTTACATTGTGTCACTTTAAAAAATATTGCCCATGCTTTTGGGCAGTTTGAACGCTGTAATAATGAGAATGAACATTATCATATTTGTACATGTTTATCGTATTTATCCCTTTTCAACTTAATTCAAAAGATATTGACCTTGGATATGTTTTCTCAAATTTGGTTCAGGACTGAAAAAGTGCATGTGACCAGTTGAGGTAAAGAAATTAATGTATTTTCTGTTCCACTGAACTTCTTTCCACAAAGTGTTTTGCTTTTCGGGGGGATTTAAGAATAATAAAATACAGAAAAAAATAAATTAGTTAAATTAAAAATGGTCTGGACATGCTAATTGTACATTTTCGAAACCTGGCAAGTTTGGAGAAAAGGAAGACATCAGACTAGTGGGATCAGTATCGGTCACTCCTTGTTGACCAAAATGACAAGACTCAAAACCAGTTGGACTTGGCCATACATCCTGGTTCCTGGGCCTCTCATTAGTTTATATAGAGGCCCTGGTATTGACCACGTAATGGCGGCGCTCACTGGAGAGATCCAAGATGGCGGACGAGGTAAGTTTACTGTGGAACTGACCGATTTCTAATACTTCTAGCTGCAACATTCACACGACACTCAATAATGCAGAATGACATTAGAATCTGTATCTGGTAGCAAATAATTTTTAGAACGAAGAAGTTTGTCTCCATAACTCCATGTTTTCCAGAAGCATAAGCCCCGCCCACTCGCGAATGTCAACACAACTTGCACGTTTTAGTGCCTCACATTACACAGCGTTTAAAATTCCCGCCTGCCCGACCGTCCGGAACGGTCTATTTACATGTCGGACGGTCAAATTTCAAAAGTTGCCTGTCCGGTGGTCTGGTAGATATTTTTACCCCTAAGAGTAAATATTTCATAATATCAGACAGGTTTTCTTGTCGTCAGTTTGAGGTGTTTAAGGTATTATGATAATTATGTTAAACTACTTACGATTGGACAGTTCATGTTACGATAACCAATCACAATCATGTACTTTCAGTACACTAGGTGCATTGCCTGTTAGTGCTATGTAGTTCATTGCGATGCCTACAAACAGTGAATGGAGCTTGCACGAGTTGGGAATGGCAGTCACAGTTTTTAATTGTTGAAAACCGGACAGGCAAGTTTGTATCCGGACTTGTAATTTTTTTAAGTTACCAGTCCGGCTGTCTGGCTTGGAATTTTGGGAGTTTTAAACACTGCATTACATGGTGAATAAACCGATGACGGGATGAATATCAAAATATTTATGCATAAATCCATAGCTATACACCTATAACTAGTTTCATCTTCTATTATTGTTGTAGACAAAATCGTCTCCAATCTTTGCCAAACGTGCGCTGTCCCTACCTGATACCCTAGTAGTAGCACGAGGTATAATTATTGTTCAAAGTTATGTCAGTTCAAAACCTGGAATTGTCTTACCTTCTTACACTGTTTATTTCATCTGCATAGATAATAAATATTGTTTCTTCAGAACTGGGTGTTTTATTTATTTATTTATATTATTATTTATTAAGTTTGAATATAAATTGTTATTTCCATGAATGTATAGCACTTTTCAATGTTTCAATGTTCAATAATGATTCATTTGTCCTCTATCTGTATATATGTTTATGGAAAGCGTGTTGTAAGTTGGAAAGCTTTTCACCTGTCCATTTGACCGTGTTGAAAATGCTTCACGATGTCCAGTGAAGTGTGACTTTGGTTTCAGTTTGTTTATACTGTGTTGCTGAACTCTCTATTCCATCACTTGATTATCTGGTTATATTTTATGCCAAGGTTCGTATGGTGGGAGTAATGCAGCGTGGGGTCTGGCAACATTAACTATTTCACGCAGATAGAGTGAGTGTGAAATGTGATCCATTCAAAGATGTTCGTCCTTCTTTGACCTCAATTCGGATCTGTTTGCAACATGTAATTTAGGGCTGTGTATTGGCAAACAAATTGTATTGCAATATATTGCGATTCAGGTACCCGTTTTGCGATACGTATTGCGATATATTGGGAGCTTTATAAGTCCCTAAACATATATGTTATGGTTCTGATAACAGCAATCTCAAAATTAGATTGCACAGTCATGGATTCTATTTTCTTTTATATACAATTTATACCATTGTAGTATGCTGTTTTGTCATTGGATAACGGAGCAGAACATTTGTTGTGAATGAAAGTATGTGTAGATTTTAATTTAAACCATAAAGATAATAAAAAACTTCATATATGTTTTTTACCCAATATACCGGTTCTCAGAAAAAATATTGCAATACGTATCATTTGAAAAGCGTATTGCGATATACCAGTATACCGGTAATACCATGTAGTCCTAATATAATTAGTACTGGTTATTCACTGGTGTTGAATATATATTGAGAGCTGACAGGCTCAGGGGCATATCACGGATATCAAAGATATTAATATGAATGATTAAGTAATTATAATGCAGATATCGACTTGATATTTTAATTAAGAGAAGATCACAGGAAGACATTATCAGCTTTAATTAGAATGCTGTTACAAACAATAAGCTCTTGTATGGAAAAAACAATTCAGAGAAAAGTCAAAGGTACTTCATTATTTCGATCAAACGTGTCCCGAATGCCTGCAAAAATAGATGCTATAAACATGATTGCATAATCATCTGGTATAGATTCGATTTTAAAAATGAACCAGAAACCAACTTAGTTGACAACAAAAGTTTATCAAGCTTTCAAGAAAGAATCATTTCCAACTGGCTTTCCTGGATGAACTGATTAAACAACAAAATCCCCAGCCAAGTATTGTGTCTTCGTCGTGCTGAGAACAAAGGGTTAAATATAAGACACATTTTGATGGTATTATACTCGGTTATCTCCGATCATCCGCTCCTCTTCCTGCACAGGATCAAACTGTGTCTCTGATGGGTCACGTGGAGGAAGGTTGGTGAAACGGGAGACAACTCCCACCATTAGACAATCACTGGCCACATTTACGGTCGTGCCACAACGATCCCTGGAAGGATAATGATACATCAGTCACAGATACCTTACACTTTAATCAGGGCTTGTTTTGTCATAATTGAGCAAAGTTCTTGTTATAAACTACATTAAAAAAAGAAGTTTTACTTAAAGATCACATATACTCTAGGGGGGTACAAATACATAAATCACTAACGGGCATCGCTATAAATGAAACCCCGTCATTAAAACTACTCATTTCGGTCTTTAATTAACATAAAACGACCTTTTTGACAACAGTGCACAATTCTCACCCGCGAACGAAATTTCAATCAATCAAAGCGGGGCGTCTCTGTTACGTCATATGAGGAATAGATATGAGGGCCGATGCAGAATTCATCTACATTTCAGGGGGTAAATTATCTTGTTTACAGGTTTGTATAAACCTGAAATCGTGACAACTGTTGTGGAAAATGAAAGCTATATGTTCTCACAATCTACTGTCATTTAATTTTGTCTCCTGCTTTGCCTAGTTTCCGAGTTACAACTTGTTTTCATAGACGATTCTGTCAAAATCGCTTGGTGTCGTAAGGCCTCATTTGTATAATGACTGATCCAAATTGATCTCATTTCTGTGTTTTTTTACCTCGATATTTAATCATGTCATGTAAACATCTGTTTGTATTCTCAAAACAGTGTCGGCCCATAAGTTTTCACATGCAATACAGCAATTAATACTCCCTTGTTGTAACCCGTGTAAGGTGGTATAAACCTACACACGTTATTTGTCATCATTCACTTGATGGTCAGTTAATGAATTTATAACAGGTATAATTAGTGGTAACACACTTAGATTACCCGACAAAGGTTCCCATTTGGCATTTCTTGTGTCTGGAGTAAATATTCAACATTACAAAAATCGATCAAAGGATTAACCGATGACACGCTGATTGATTAATTACTTATATTTTACACAGCGGATTTGTCAAAAGGTAGTGTTTATGTATGTAGATTTACTAATCTATACTGAATACACTCTGACGTGTCTGCAGATGAATGGCATTTGTTTTTGTGGATATTGATGGATACATTCTTCGAACAAGGTAATATCCTGACATTGTTCCTATAACTTTAATCTGTTTTAATTTTAATATTTGCAATATTTATTCATTTGTCGTAGCATTGAACAGAATCATTGTTTTCGCCGTGAAGTGTAATGAGACAGACAACATACACTAGGGTGTGTGTCCGAATTATGATTCACATTGGCAAACTATAAAATGTCTAGATATTACAATTCTGTTATAAATTCACTAGAAGTATCAGCAGATCGTCTGCTTTTTATTTAGTTTCAAAATGCATACAAGTTTAAACTAATTAGGATTATAAGAGCAAATATAAAGACGTACATTGACTACAGTATCTACATACTGGTGAGTGGCTGTTAACCACGTGAATGTAGCAAGAAATTTATCGCGCAGTATTGTGACTTCGACCCCCACCTCGCTTCCGTGGAAGAAATCGTTATGTTATAAGTTGTGTCATGCAAAATCATTTTGGTTATGATTCAAATACATATTTAACTACGAGTAGAAAGTAGTTTTGATTTTCTAACTTGATGAAAACAAACCATAATCTCATAAATTCTAACAAACTTTAGCCCGTCACTTTACGATTTTCAAGAATGGCCGCTCCCTGTCGCGAACATACGCCAGTCTGAGGATAAATGCTATTTAGGTTTGTTTTCACCGAGTTACAAAATCAAAACTACTTTCTACTGGTAGTAATATATGTATTTGATTGATGGCCAATAGGATTTTGCATGACATAGCTTATAACATAACAATTTTTGGGTGGCAGCGAGGTGGCTGTCAATATAATACTACTTTACAATATTATTGTTACTTCGACCACAACCTCACTTCCGAGGAAAATCGTTATGTTACAAGTTGTGTCATGGTAAATCTCTATGGTCATCAATCATATACATATTTTAATACAACTAGTAAGTAGTTTTGATTCTTTAACTTCCGTGAAGCGATCTGATTAAGAATATATGCTGCAAGAATAATAGAACATTGGAATATTATCTCTCAGAAGAGGATATTTTTCAAGGTCATCTTCATAGACAAAGAACAAACGTTGGTACTTCATATCAACAGTGATTTTCACGTAAACTTACATCAGCCAGTTGATTGTGAGCAACAGAGAGGCGCCCCGAACTGGGAGACCAATCGCCCGGATGACAAGCATCAGCATTGCCAGATCAGACCCAGGTATGCTGGCAGTCCCAATGCTGGTTAGGAACGCTGTTAAACTAGAAAACATAAAGACATTTTGCGACTCTTCATACAATTGATGATTTTTTATACATTGCCTCAACTCGCAGACTTGGTTGACACATGTCATCATATCGTAGATCGATGCTTACGCTGTTGATATCGGGATTGTCTGGTTCAGAGTTGATTATTTGCCGACTGCCGCCATATAGCTAGAACATTGCTGGTTGCAGCGTTAAACGCCAGGGAACCAACCGACCAATTGTACTGGCACGCTTTCTGTGTACTGTCATTGCACTATCAATACATGAATGTGTGTTCATTTATATATAGTAAACAATTCTTGAAATGGGTTGTCAAAACTTAAATCCATGATTACGCGTTCCTTCAGGTGAACAATTGCCTTGTCGTTGCTTGTGTTTGTGTTTGGAGCGTTGCATATTCGGGAACCATTGGTCGGATCACTAATTGATTTGGAAAGCAAATGTGTTTTATTGTTATGGACCGGAATTGTGTAAATGTGTTTTATTTACATAAGCAAATCCATTGTTGTTGTTAGTGGCCGAATTCGAGTAAACATAAAACAAACAGAGGTCAGAGAGTGCACACTCACTTGAACTTTAGTTCTAGCGAGAGCAGGGGCGGTGGGGTAGCCTAATGGTTAAAGCGTTGGGTCGTCACGTTGAAGACCCGGGTTCGAATCCCCACATGGGCACAATGTGTGAAGCCAATTTCTGGTGTCCCCCGCCGTGATATTGCTGGAATATTGCTAAAAGCGGCGTAAAAACCCAACTCACTCACTCACTCATTCACTCTAGCGAGATCAGGAAAGAATATGTTTGTACATAGGCAAGTATGATACTGTACTGTCAATATAATGTTACAGACAGACTCAAAGACACAGAAATACAGACATACTCTCTCTCTCTCGCTCACACACACACACACACACACACACACACACACACGCACATATGCTAATATGGTCAGAAAAGTTATCTCCTTGTAGCAGAGGTTGCTTATGATTATGGACCAAGGGTTGTCCCTCTGAATGCAGATGTAATAAATGTGATGTTGCTTGCATATAGTTTCACTCTCCATCACACCCTCTCTCTTACCGGGCTGTGGGGTAGCCTAGAGGTTAAAGCGTTCGCACGTCACGCCGAAGACCCGGGTTCGATTCCCTAAATGGGTACAATGTGTGAAGCCCATTTCTGGTGTCCCCCACCGTGACATTACTGGAATATTGCTAAATGCGGCGTAAAACTATACTCGCTCACTCTTACCAGATTATGAAGAAGTCTCCAAATGACAGGGTTATTCCATTGTACTGAGCTATGAACACAGCAGCCACGACCCCGTACACAGCTCCACCGTCCATGTTTACAGTTGCACCCACTGGGAGGATGACCCTTGAGATCCTCTTGTCCATCTGCAGCCTCTCCTCAACACACTGCATTGTCACCGGCAGAGCAGCCGCGCTACAAGCAAAACACAGTTGAATGCACAAACTTATCAACTGTTTGGGCACACCACAAGTATATTTCTGGAGCTGTTCGATAGGCATTCCGTGGATGTTGAAAGATGACAATTGGGACACTTTGTGGGGATAACATTTATGTATCACAGAATATGTTGATATTAACAGAAACGATTATTACTAGAAACTTATTTATTGCAAGTGATGCGACGTTTTGTTGTAGATGCTGACACAGATATCAAGCAAGTGCTAGCATCTACACCGAAACGTCGCATCCATTGCAAGAAAGAGGTAGTGTGCCCACCCAAAATCGCTTGTGTTCATCACCAGCTTCTAAATGCCACTCAAAGAAGTTATGTTAATAGTAGAAGCTTATTGCAACCTGATGGATGACACGAACTCGGTTTTTCCCTGGCAACATGATCTGTGTTTTATTCATTATGTGTATAACGAGCTACAATCAGTGGTCCCGATGATTCGATCTGACCATATGTTACAGTATTTCGGTATAGATCCAATCGGGACAGAGTGTGGTACAGAACTATGTATGGTAGTTCAATCATGTAAGAAGTCATAAATAGATTGTTGTCCTAAAGTGTTCATACTTGACTATTTCTCACTTTCTAACAGCAACTGCCTCTCGAGCTGCTGGTGTTCATGTTTGAGTAATAATGTCAGATATATATGGAATATATTTCATTCAAAACAATGCTGTATTTAATCAGAAAAAGCTCAATAGTGCCAAAAAACCTGTTGGACTACACCTCGGCAGTGTGGCAGCGCCAGAAACAATAACTGCAAGGCGACGTACATACATAGGTCCTGTCATTTCTTGGGCACAAACCAAATGGGAGGATGCTTACCTAATTACACCTTTTCTGAGTTGTTCAATGCGCATTGTGTAGAAACTGAACAAATTAGACGCCTTCTACGGATAACAAAGTCATGAACAAACTAGTATTCTATTGTTGTAAATAAACATTTCCAATCGAGTCAAAGTTTTCCAAGATATTTGTATGGATTAAACTTCTTTTTTATTTCCCTCACGACGTTTCGGGACCATTCCAGGTCCCTTCATCAGGTGGACTGCCAAACAAAGGTCAGTCCACCTGATGAAGAGACCTGACCTGGTCCCGAAACGTCGTGAGGGAAATAAATAAAAAGTTTAATCCATTAAAATATCTTGGACATCTATGTACAACTTCTAAATGCCACTGAAAAAGAGACGTTTGTTCTCATGAAAGCAAATATGTATAAATTTGTCATCAGGTGATACAGAGACACGTGAATGCATGGTGTAAGCAGTCATTTTGGCTCTTAGAGATATAAAACTTGGTCATGCTCACCTGGAGCTTGTGGCAAAGGCTGTGAGCAGAGCAGGCAGTGATCTGAGGTATATCACATATGGGTTCTGTCTGGTCAGGATGAAGTACATTGCGGGAAGGATCACCACACTGTGGACCGCGAGTCCCGCCATCTCCGTAGCCATGTAGACCGCAACAGTTTGTCCAGTCTTCGATATGTCGGCTGCAGACATTATCTGACCCATGATCAGAGACATTACTCCAAGTGGAGAGTACCTGGAAACGATACAGCGGACATTGAATCGGGGGTTTTGGTTCTATATCTGTATACTGTATAATATATTTCAATAAATACCCTCTCGTATGGATTTGCGATTTTGGGCTTCATGACATAATCAAATGCTTGTCCTTTGATTGTTGACTTTGTCATGGTATCTCTGTTACGTAGATCGACGGTCATGGTGCTAATGACTGGAATGTCTAGTCCAGCGTCAAATATACTATCAAAAAAAGAAACGCATAGGCGTTTTGCACTTTTAGAAATCTATTAATTACCTATTGTGTTCAAACAATCGATAAAATATGTAACAAAAGTGTTGATAACATGATCTGACACAATTGCACAAGTGAAAATTCGAATTTACCTGAAAATGTTGATTTTGATGAGATTTCTTACAAGGATTAAGAAGGCATCACCACAACGCAACAGAAATCACCTTCCAGTTGAAATGGTGCAGTAATGAGCATGCACTGTCTGGCTATAAAGATCCAGATTAGATACGGAAATTGTCATTCGTTTTGAAGGATTTTCAAGGTCAAATTCCTACATCACGTTTTGACGCTGCGACACCGTACGTCGCCATTGAAAGAATGCACGGTGGAGATTACCAATCTTCAGTTGCCAGGCGTCTGAATGTTAGTCTGAGCACGATATGACGGCTTACAGCTCGTTACAACCAAACAGGCATAATAAATGGCCGTCCCCGTACAGGCAGACATCGAGTCACCACTGTAGCCCAAGATTGGTACATCGGGGTACTACATTTGCGTGATCGTACTGCTACGGGTGACAGCACGGCAACCAGGGTGCCTGGACTTTGGAGGATATCCGGTCAAACTTTAAGGAACAGGTTGAGAATGATTGGACTGAGACATTTCCTTCTTCTAAACTGATGCAAAAATTCATGAACTAAAGTCTATTTGTGTTATGCATGTTTGAAAATACAACATTTTCGCAACAGATTTCTGGGTCATGCGTTTCTTTTTTTGAATAGTATATCAGCAGACGGCAGCCATATAGCAACAACACAAAAAAACCTGCTATTGTTGGGAAAGTATGGTTGTACATTATGTTGACATTATGGGACGAGGAATGTTATCTCTGTTACTTCCAGGTTGATTACATAAACTACTGACGGAATCAAAATGGTTGGAAATATCTAGTTGTTGCAAATATGATCGGAATAGACTTTCGTATAGGTGTTGAGTTACACCCAAATTAATGTTGGAAACGAATTGAATATGTAGAGACAATGTATCTGTAATATTGGACACAGATAGCGAAATTCATTACATTCATTAAGATATGTTTGGATAGTGTAAAAGCTGAAGGATTAATATTTCAAACACTAAAGTATCAAATGGGCATTCATGGACCAAAAAGTGATTTCAGAGAACACTATGAAATGCGTGAGTATGCTTAGGAAAAGTGAAATCATATGAATACGTTGACGTTATCATGCAGAAACACCTGACTATTACTTGGCAAATCTACAGAAAAATCTACGGAAGCAATGTATGGCCAATGGCAAGTGCGGGATATTTCACCATTAACGCTTTTTTACCTTAATGTGGACAAGTGTATTATTAATTTTATTATTTGAGAATCCTTTACGTTTATATCAAATTTGTAAATTTATTCTACCATTCCGCATCACTATCCCACCTTTTATTCATGTTTCGATTTTAATCCACTATTCAACTTTTGTAGCAACCGTTCGCCTGCTTTCCACTGTAATAAGCTGTCCCACATAGGTTTTTCAGCAAATTAATTATCTTTCCATTCTTTGTAAAGCATCCAGGTGTATGATCACTTTGTCCTCATGCTCGTATTTGCTGTTGTTGATTGTATGTGATAGGTTAACGCAGTGGGCGAGCTGGATAAGGCGCCAGGCTACTGATCCAGCGAGGTTGGGGGCCGGGATCGAGCCCACCTGTGACCGGGTGTAAAAACCTTGGAGTCAACTTAGCGTGTAGACTCTTTCCGTGTTGTCACAACCCCTACTGTACAGTACACAACGCTGTGCACTTAAAAGAACCCACGAATCCGTTGGTATATGTCCAGATGGTGGCCACATGAATACGTGCAAACACCTAGTTGCGGGTACAGCAACGTGCAGTGAAGTTGGACAAAATACTGTGACTACGTGTCCCAGTCCACCCAGCTGTGAATGGGTACCTCGTTAGGATGAGGAAGCCACAATAACTCGGTGCGCCTAGTGGCAGCAAGAGTTGTATACTCCCCAGGGAGTTGAGATTGATAATACGATGTGCAGTTGATATTGACATCCAATGATCGAGGGAAAAAAATACCAGCGCCTTGAGCATGCACTAGTGCGTGGATATGTGCGCTATATAAATATCCTATAATAATAATTTGGTATTACAAAGTGACGGTAGTGTTGACCTTCACAGCCATTGGAATGTGTGGGGTCAGTTAGTTATTATGGCATAAATAAAGAGTAAGTAAAAATATATTGCATTGAAGGAAGCTGTAGATGACAGTTTCTGCTGCTGTGTAGCCTCTAAATATAGCACGCAGTTTGTAAGTCAGGGGGTCATGAGGCAACTGCACTCCATTCAGGATTTTGATGTTTGAAATAAAAGCAAGCATAATTGTGGTATATTTAGAACGACGTGACCACCACGTGATCCATTAACCTCGATGTTATTATCTGTCATTGTCTGTGTAATCGAGTCAGACCCGGTGAAATAAAGTGGTACACTTCCGCCCACCATTGTTCTAGTCACGTCATATTTGTTCGTGCTAAAAAACATTGATGCCGTAGTGGTGCATAGTTTTAGTGTTTGTCATTCGTAATTTTACAATTATTACAGTAATTATTGCAACAGTGAATGAGCGAGTGAGTGAGTGAGTTTTACGCCGCACTCAGCAATATTCCAGCTATATGGCAACGGTCTGTAAACACTCGAGTCTGGACCAGAGAATCCAGTGATCAACAGCATGAGCATCGATCTGCGCAATTGGGAACCGATGACATGCGTCAACCAAGTCAGCGAGCCTGACAACCCAATCCCGTTAGTCGCCACGTACGACAAGCATAGTCGCCTTTTGTGGCAAACATGGGGCTGAAGACCTATTCTACCCCGGGTGTTCACGGGCCATTATTGCAATAAACATGCAGCAGTAATGTGATATGATAGATATTGATAAATTTGATATTTCTTAGTGTTTATTCCAACAATTTTGCTCTGTTTGTCATTACTTATTGTGCAAGTGCTTCTCTTATTAAATGTTTAATTTAATTTTTTATGTCAATTGTGTTCTCGTCACGATATGGTTGAAGTATTACCAATGTGACGTTAATTTTTACTCACTCACTCATAAATTCTCTCAAAATGTTTATCTGGCACTATAGTCTTCCCAGGAGTTATCAGATAGAAAGCAATGGAAATGTCCCAGAAGAATGCCCATGTAATGCCGGTTAAAATGTTATGTAAATGAAAGGTAATTATTGTGCAAAGCTGACAATAACGTTTGTTCATTTGCTACTACATTCCTTGGTAGTAGTAGAAATCTGTAGTAGGATTTCACGTCCTAAAGTCTACTAATCCACCTTTGCTAAATGGCTATCTTTTAAATTGTTATCCTCATATCCACGTGAACTAAAGTGACGGTTCACATCCTAAACCCAACTCACCACATGACAAGTTTGATCATGTAGACGGTGACAGTGTTGATCTGTGAGAAGAACTGTATCAGTGCAGCTCCACGCTGACCAAGTTTACTGAGCGTCACACCAAACACAATGCAGTAGGTGAGTAATCCTGTCAGAAGAGAATCGTAAGTCAATTACGTTATCGAGTGAGTGAGTGAGTTTAATTTTACGCCTCACTCAGCAATTTTCCAGTTATATGGCGGCAATCTGTAAATAATCGAGTCTGGACCAGACAATCCATTGATCAACAGCATGGACATCGACCTACTCAATTGGGATACATGTGTCAAACAAAGTCAGCGAGCCTGACCACCCGATCATTCCACAAGCATGGGTTACTGAAGACCAATTCTAACACAGATCTTCACGGGTAGTCATTGATAGCTCAGAGGCGTGAAGTAAGCATCGTCTATATCACACAAGGAAAAGCAAGTTCTATGCCTTCTTTATTGCAATGATTGCGACGTCTCGGTGTAGGTACTAACACCGATATATCAATCACTGTTGATCACGGTGTTAGTACCTACACCGAAACTACGCACTCACTGCAATAAAGAAGTTGACTATCCATAGAACTTGGTTTTCCTTCATCTATACAACTTCTAAAATGCCTCTCAAGGAAGTATAATTATCACACAATACGAGGTGAGAAGGGATAATTTTTCATTTTGCATTTTAGGTTTTGCATGAACCGAAAGGGACCACTAATTCTGGTTCATTATGACCGCCTCCGTGGTGTAGTGGTTAGAGCGTCCGCCCGGAGAGCGGAAGGTCGAGGGTTCCATCCCCGACCGCGTCATACCAAAAGACGTTAAAATATGGTACTTGTTGGTCCCTGCCTGGCGCTCGGCATTAATGGGTACAACAAGGACTGATCGGCTCGAAATCAGTATAATGTGTCTGAGTGGGGTATTCATGCTTCACTGCGGCATGGTATCTCAGTGAGCTAGCACTATAAAACCAGCCGAAGTCTGGGCTAGTACAAGCAGCCGCACATACACATACACACGCATGCACGTCGTCATATGAGCGAAATATTCTCAAGCACGACGTTAAACCCAATTTCACCTCACCTCACCTCACAAACACTTGGTCCAGACACCCCGCAGATGGAAACAGCTGGCAAGCATACCTAAGATGTTTTCCCCTTTAACCGACAGTGTTTCCTTTGTCGAATTAGGATGGTGAATGTTGTTTACTTCCATGGAACCATTTATCCTTTCATCAGCACTGGAGTTGACGCCGTGCACTCCTTCATCTTCCGCGGCTACCGACACAGTGGTTGAATGCTGAACCGTTGCTGCCACAATGTTGTCAGGTATTAAGTTCCTGGGTAACAGAAGATTGTTTATTATATGAATGATTGGAGTACTTGATTCAGATACGAGGGTCGGTCAAAAAGTAGTGAGCCTAACTATATTCTCGATGTCCAATGTTTGAAAAGCTTCCATTTTAGTTTGTAGGAATCATTAGCAAAGTCGTATAAAAAAAATCACATATATGGGAAATGTGATTAACGAGATATTAGTCATCACAACACATTGGGGTATAATATTTCTAGAAAAAATGCAGAAAATGAAAAACGATCCGTCATTTAGTACCTCTTGGATAATGGTATGCCCTCAGATAATGTCATATAAAATATGTTAGCATAGTATTTGATGACTTCCCGTCATAATCAACATTCAAAGATTTGGATTGCTTGATTTATGTTTAGACAGGGCTGTTTTTTAAGGACACACCCATGTTAGTCTTTCAAAAACATTGTGTCCAGATATTCAAGCTGGCCCTGTTTACAATATACTGAGAGTTGACACTTGTGTGACCATTCAGTATTTACTTTGAACCTTTAGCATCATGTGTGAAAAAGTGAAAACATTAGAATCAGTTATGTCCTTATGAATTCGTCGTCTGAACGGGGGTGGGTAGTGTCTCCAAAACAAGCTGTTTCAGTAAACATCATGAAAGTGAATCACTTTAACAAGCGATTGTACTTTCAAATTGCTTTTTAATCCACTTTAATATCTAAGTTTCATTCTAGCGGACGTCTACCTATCTCAAACACACAAAATGTTTCTTGCATATTTTGTTACCTGAAGTTTGCGGTGCATTTATTGCAGATTTTGCGCTTTTGGGGGGTACCAAGATAAAATTTCAAACAAAATGGGGATCGTAAGGCTGGAACAATTTGCTTGAGGTTGACAGATAATCTGTAGAAAAATAAAACATCAAAACAGCTGCATTTGTATCATTTACTAGGTCAGGCTCACTACTTTTTGACTGTCCCTCGTAACACTGACTTTGAAGAATAAATTTGTACATGGAAGCTAAAAGGATGGCCATTTACTCTTTGACAATAGAAGCAGTTTACTATGCGGGCGAATAGAGTGCTAGATTCAGTTAACATCGAATTAAAAGAATATGTTATGCAAAAAGAAAGACATATTAGACGTCAAAAGACACGCTTGCAAAGTCAATGGAAACACCTGACAAACAGGTACGATAAACATTATTTTTTTGGTTAAGTTTAATCGCATTAAATAATTGACCAGGGATTGAGTTGTTATGCACGGTTAACACCAATATTTACTCCTTGTCACTATTACCAGTTTTGCCGCATGTCTTACCTGAACAAATCTAGTATGGCATCCATTCCAGACACAACGTCTTTGTTTTGTGAAACAAAGGTTGCTGTCGAGTCTGTGTAGGATCCTGGTTTGATGATCAGGACCACCGCTAAGCCAACAAGTGTTGCCAGAATAGAGGTACTTGCATAATACATCATGGACAGTACCCCTATCTTGCCTGCTGAAGATCCCGTAACATTGCCTAGACCTGAGCAAAGACATTGCAAGTCAGACATTGCAAGGCATTGAAAGGCATGCTCCGCTTATACCACACACAGAGAATGTACAAAAACAATAATATACTGAATGTAAATACGGGTATTTTCATACGCTTGGCATTTTGTGCGGAACTGGGATGGTCTGTTTAGCTTCCTGTTCTCAGATAAGGAGCTGGGATGGTCTGTTTAGCTTCCTGTTCTCAGATAAGGAGCTGGGATGGTCTGTTTAGCTTCCTGTTCTCAGATAAGGAGCTGGGCGATGTGGTCATTTTTATTGCTTCTGTGCACTCATGTACATGCAATAGATGTTGGTAATTTAAGCTTCTAAGCAATAATAACGTTACTGTTGAAGTCCAATACCAACTATTTGGTTTATGTAACCTACAACACAAGGAGGAAGCATGTACAAAGTCAACAATATAGTGTCAGGTGAGGTGAGGTGAAATTGGGTTTAACGTCGTGCTACAGAATATTTCGCTCATATGACGACGTGCATGCGTGTGTATGTGTATGTGTGGCTGCTTGTACTAGCCCAGACTTGAGCTGGTTTTATAGTGCTAGCCCACTGAGATACCATGCCACAGTGAAGCATGAATACCCCACTCAGACACATTATACTGACCCCGAGCCGACGAGTCCTTGTTGTACCAATTAATGCCGTGCGCCAGGCAGGGACTAACAAGTACCATATTTTAACGTCTTTTTGGTATGACGCAGTCGGGGATCGAACCTGCGACATTCCGCTCTCCGGGTGGACGCTCTAACCACTACACCACGGAGGCGGTCCAATATAGTGTCAAAGCAAATGAGATAAAATTAATGTCATGCATTCATCTCCCGATACTAAAACCCCACAACACTCAAACCCCATAACACTAAAACGTGGTTCCACAGCAACCGCATACAAACTGGAGAGGAACAGATTTTATGGATTGACAACAGATGCGAACGTTTCGGTGTAGACGCTTACACTGTCATCAAGCAAGTAATGCCCATCATCTACAATCACAACAACTATCAGTAATGTCATCACTCTGTACATCAACCTCTGAAGTAGTATAAACTCAAATATCTTTCATATGTGTGTATATATTCTCCTGGTGCACAATGCTGTTTATCATTCTTTGACCTAGTGATAAAGATCTTTATCCAAAACATATGTTCCTTTTCTTCAACCAGCTTCCAATTGCCACTTGACTTTGACGACATGTCATGATGCTAGATACTCTCATGTGGAATGTTAACCACTAGCAACCCAAGCTAGGCCATCGGGACTTACACTATGCTTCTTTCTTGCTTGATACCTCAGCATGATTTACGTCATCAGTTTAGCCACTGGTGTCTGGTTGCAAGACCGGCCAAGATTCTCAGCAATGATTTGGCATAAACAACGATTGATGATATATTGATTAAAAGCATTATGTGCCACATAGGTGGAAAACTTTGGCTGAATTAACAATTTGTTATGTTACCTGTAATGATGCTAGATATTATCAGGGGTAGTATCAGCATTCTGAGCATACGAAGGAAGAGCTCCCCTGGAAACTGTACGACCTGAACAGTATCTGAAGATGGCTCGAACAGGCGACACACCAGCCCAGCAATAACTCCAAGGACGATTGCTAGAATGGTGAGGATAAGAAGGAGGTTCTGTTGGAGGAACTGAAGCACTTTCATCTGCAGAAAGAAAACAAAAGAGTGCTTGATGCGTAGAATTTGAACTGCCAACCTGTCACGAAGAACTGATCGTCTCTTTTCTATTTTTGAGTTGGATGAGCACGTATCTTACATGAGTTGCCCAAATGAAAGGTGATATGAAATTGAAATATCAAAAAGCAAATATAAAAATGGTGCTTACTTTTGAAATTGAATGAAATGTGCATTAAAGTTTTAATGTTATGTAAAGACGGACTTTGTATGGTTATAGAAATTCTTTGGTGGTGTTTATTCAGTAAATGTTTCATTCAATTTCAAGGCCACGGTAAAAATAACTTACGTTTGAATTTGGGAATTAACGAATCCTTTGACCGTAACAAATGGAACTATGCTCACACAATATGAATGTTAAACAACCTTGTACGAAAAACACCTGATATTACATTACTGCATTGTCGACCTGAGTATTACATTTCATTTTATGCGATACATGCTCTATCTACAGTGTTTACAGTTTCAACACATGGTTTCTGAACACCATTAATTAATTTATGTTTCAATCTTTTAATTTAATGTATTCACATCCATTGTCATGACTTAAACCGATTTCAATGTGACCGTTAGAAATCAAATTTGAAAATGTTGTCCACAAGACCTTTTCAAAGTTTCACTCCGACATAGTCAATTGTTGTAGAGGGGGTGAAATAGTCCCAAATGACGTCATCATCGAACACCTGGCTGACCTCATTTCACAGGGGGCAATGACCTTGTACTGAGTTGACCTTGGGATAAACAACTTTTCCCAGAGGTATTTTTAGATCAGGTGCATAGCAACCGAAAGATAATGGCATCATGGCATACGGATAGATCAACTCGTTTAATCCGGTTTGGGAATGCAAATATATAAACCCCTTCATTTCGGATCATGCATCACTTCATCCCTGACTACACAGACGACATCCAGCTATACAACTCTTGCTCTCTCTGTTGGCTGTTTTTCTTGGAGATGGAAGCCGTTCACCGTGATATCCTGAGGAAGAATCACTCCGGTCTAGTGCAAGCTAAAAAGCACGTAGTAGAGGTGGTCGACAAACTGATGCAGTTTAACGTCCTTACCATCTTCATGAAGGCAGAGATTATCGAAAAACCTCCAACCTCCTTTGACCGTGTCAGAGAACTACTCACCATCTTGCCTAGACGGGGACCAGAAGCCTGCTCCCTCTTCTGTAAAGCTTTGGAAGAATGCGGAGAGATACAAGCCATGGCATTGTTGGGACTAGAGACAGACAGGACACAGTATCCTCATGGTCATGATGATCTAGGTGGGTACCTATGTATGAACAGTATCCCTCTCAGACCTCGAACACGGTTCCAAGAACGGTTGAATTCCTTTTAGTCTTGGCCTGTGCAGTTGAAACAGAGTCCCGCTCAAATGGCCCAGGCAGGATATGTGTACTTAATCAGAGGGGACGCTTGCAAGTGTGTTCAATGTTGTGTTGTTCTCAACAGTTGGGACGTAGAGGATGATCCTTGGGTCGAACATGAATAATGGTCTCCAAACTGTCCGTATTTGGCCCTGGTAGGAGTACCTCAGAAAGAGGTGGTCCGCTGGGGTAGTCATGTAGATTTACATGTGTAAGAGTGTGATGTTCATTGTACAATGCTGTGTGTATTTGTGACTATTTGAGAATAAATTAATAATGGTTGTCATTGGTTGATGTGGTGTATAAAAGTCCTAACAAAAGGTAGGTGAAGGGAGAGCAGAGTGGCACAGTGAGATAGTGGCTGTTCCGTTTCTGCGGTTTCACCCCGCCGCGACAGATAACAACTTTTGCGTTTTCAATGATGATAGTTTCTTAAAGACCTTTTGGTGGAGTCCGGAAAATTTTCAAATATAAGAAAGCTGTTGGGTATTAGTAGATGATAAACATGTGTACTATTTATATTTATGTGGCAATTATGTACAATGATAACATTTGCAATTCATCGGTCCGTTTCTGACTCAAACGGACTGTGGTGTGTTTTCCCAATGTCAGGGTATTTCATTCAGCGTTTTCCTTGTGGGTCTGTTTAAAAAAAGACAGTATTTGGGTTGTGTATACAAAGGCTATTAATGAGTGAGTGAAACATGTTTTACACCGTTTTAGCAATATTCCACCAATATCACGGAAGGTGGGCTTCATACATTCAGCGTGACGCGTGAGTAAGTGAGTGAGGAACCCACGCCTGTCGAAAGAGGCGAGTAACGGGATCGGGTGGTCAGGCTCGATGACTTGGGTGAAACATGTCATCATATCCAAGATTTATAAGGTGTCGGATTACATGAAACGTACAACTTTTGCTCTTGGCATGAAAAAGAACATCGTGCTAAAAATTGTGAAAAATAAACCAACAACCAATAAACAAAACCTTGTACAAAAAAGGTAGGCATCCAAAGTTAGATTCTTTTGACATCAGGGTCATCAGAGATGTCATTCGCCAGCTATTTGCAAAATTTAAAGATTTTAACCTACAGAATAATTCTCACTAATGGGTTTGGTGGTTAATGGTGAACAACTCAGAGAAACAAACTCCGTATGATGGTTACCAGTTGGCACCCACCTTACCCTATTCACGACCTGTGACACCTCTTCGTACCTATCACGTGCATAACTGACCTACATTGACGAACGTTGACCTTTATGACCCAACACTGCTGCTGTTATAGGTCATTGGCTCCCTCCCTCTGCAAGCATTCTGCGTTCTGCTGTTTATTTTGTTGACAGTTACATAGACAGATTCTTTAATACAAATGCATAAAATCGGCGATTTACAATGTGATTAGGTTGTCTGACAAAACATCCACTTGCACAGTTTGAGATCGATTTGGTCATTGGATGAAGAGATATTTACCAAAAAACGGGTCCACATGCATTTCATGCCAAACTATAGCTAGTGTTGATTCTAACGAGCATGTAGCATTACATTTATGGATGTTTTGTATTATCATGATGCATTCATTCAATACAAAATCATACTATTTAGTTTGAGAGTAGGGAGTAATTCATGGGCTGATGATCATATTAACATACGTTGTTTACACTAGCGAGAAATTTCCAGGCTAACTGGCGACAGAAACGTCCCTCCCCTGCCACAGCAGTGCCCCTGCCCTTCATCCCCCGCATAGTCCCACACACGCAAATGTGGGTCACCAGATCTCGTCTCTGCTAGCACTGTGAGAGAGAGAGTGCTTTGCACGACACAATCCCAAATATAACATATGTTATATTTACATGGAAGTGCATATCAGTCTCATGTTTTTTTATGGTTGATTCATTCAATACTATCACAAAAATATGGGATTTGGGTATAACATCTCAATATCATCCTTGAATTTCCCCATTGGATACACTGGGATAGTATGGAATTTGAAACAATCACAAACATATGTTGGCATTACAAGGCAAGATACAATGACAATATGGATTGGATATTCAAATATGGATTGTGAATACCGGTAAGTTTGAAATATATTTGAAATTATATTTAGTTGTGTTGTTTTGGTGATGGTCAAGACAAACTCGAACCATTTTCATGTGGCAATGAACGCTGATTGCATTTAACAAATGTGTTATAAAACCCTAGTCCAGCACATAACTAGACGACTTTGCACTATACCAATTGTGCTCGACGTCTCGATGTAGGCCTTGGCTGGAATACGAGTTAATTCACATTAACTAAGGGGAAATCTAGACTTCATTTAGAGCCTTAGCACTGCAGGGGAGGGCTAAGCTGTAGGGAACACAATATGGTTCAGGAACCGTGAGACAGGCTAATATGTTAGACCAACGATTGTTTAGTACAACTTGAGGAGGTATCATATTGCACCTAGGCTGAGTGAGACGAGGGAAGGGTGGAGGTACGTACGTACGAATTGGAATATCTTAAGAACCGTTCACTAGATTCTTTTCATATTTAGTACCTAGGTTCATCACACTATGAGAAATGGCCAAGGTAGGTTTGGTGACCTTGAACCTCATTTCAAGGTCACAAGGGGACTTTCACGTTTTACCTGAATGTTAAGCTATCTCAGGATCTCTGGATTTTCTGCATATTCACTACCAAGCTTCAGCTTGGGAAGGCGCAGGGCCCTGTCGATTTTGGTGACCTTCACATAATTTTCGAGGTCATGGCGACACTTTGAAGATTTCAGCATGTAAACCTGCATGTAAAGCTATCTCAAGAACCGTGAACTGGATTTTCTTCATATTCAACCCCAAGCTGTATCCAGGGAAGGCGCCGGGTCCAGTTAATTATGGTGACCTTCACTTAATTTTCAAGGTCACAGAGACACTTTGAAGATTTCAGCATGTTAAATTGCTTGGTAAGATAGTCAGCAAGATATCGCAAAACATATTCAGTGGATTTTCTTCATATCTGACACCAAGCTTCATCTAGGAAAGGCCCAGGGCCAAGTCAATTTTGATGACCTTCACATAATTTGTAGGGTCACGACGACACTATGAAGTTTTCAGAATGTTAACCTGAATTGTCAGCAAGATATTTTAAGAACGGTTCACTGGATTTGCTTCATAGACTTTCAAGACCTCCCTTGAATGTTTTTCAATAAGCAATTTCTTTAGTACTAGTTTTGCATATTTCATACACTATGACATTCATGTCAAGGTCAAAGTCAGTCTTGAAAATATGTGTGTGTTTGAACAACTAAAGAGCAAGATAATGTTTTTGTTGACATTTAACTTCATCTTAATCTTGACCCGTGAAGATCCGGGGTAGAATAGGTCTTCAGCAACCCATGTGCTTGCCATAAAAAGGCGACTATCTTGTCGTAAGAGGCGACTAACGGGATCGGGTGGTCAGTTTCGCTGACTTGGTTGACACATGTCATCGGTTCCCAACTGCGCAGATCGATGCTCATGCTGTTGATCACTGGATTGTCTGGTCCAGACTCGATTATTTACAGACCGCCGCCATATAGCTGGAATATTGCTGAGTGCGGCGTAAAACTAAACTCACTCACTCACTCATCTTAAACTTTCACTGTTTAAAAGTTTGATTTGATAATTTGCGGCGGGGGATTATGTCACCTTAGTGACAATGCTTGTTAATTATAGTTTTATTTATAAACCTAGCAACGTCAGTGCTCAATTATATTCAAGACATAAACCGATTCACTAATTTAAAAAACGGTAATTTAACGTTCGCGCGCGTTTGAGCCCTGACAATTTTTGTGTACACGCGACAGCGTTAACGGGTGGGCCCGAATGAACTCCTCGTGTTTAAACCAAGCATTTGACACATGTGTTTCTGTTTATAACTTCGACTCCAGGAAATTGTAGCGATTAACGCTGTGTGTGGTGATTCAACATGCCTTAATGGGCGCCCGCTTGTTCAGGAATGTGAGCAATTACTGTGGTGATTCAGCCTTAATGGGTGCGAAATGACACGCGACAGCAATATGGTTATTCGGTGTGTAAACTGTAAACATCTCGTGTTTCTTGTAACATGCACAGCATATGATATATAAACATACAAACCTTTTCGTTTGTTGAACTTGTACTGTTGGCGTGAAGTCACCTCAAAGTGCAGTTGGCAAGTGATGCATGATGTTGAATTAATGGGTTTTTATAGTTAAAAATGAAACCGGATAAAACTAGTTTGTGGTCAGCGGTCAAGTGAGATCTACGCTGATTGGTCCAAAATAATGGCGTGATGTCATGGTGTGATGCTATGATTTGTTTCCCACGGGTCGCGTGGTCATTAACCCCTCAGTCAGCATGAGTCACACCGGATCCTTTTTCCCACGGGGTACGGGGTCATTAATCCCCGAGACCAACGACTGACACCCATGACCCTGATTTCTTAGGTCAGCTCAGTACAAGGTCATTGACACCCCTGTGAAATGAGGTCAGCCAGGTGTTCGATGATGACGTCATTTGGGACTATTTCACCCCCTCTACAACAGTCAATTAAATATATGTTCTTATGATGAATGGCCTACTTGCATAGAACTCGCCAACACCTGAAGGAATGATATAGATCCAGCTAGGGTCCATGCAGCCAGCAAAAGTCTCCATGGTGCCTAGTTTGGTAATCAACCTTCAGGGATATATATCCATGTTCTATATTGTGTAGCATGTGGTAACTTGCGAATCTGTGATACACATCTTTACGGTTTTAGAGTGAGTGAGTGAATTGATTATACATCATTTGGCTACAAATTTTAATACAAATATGTTCAGAATTTCATTGTGTTTCCACTGCATGAAAAATGAGAACATGAGTTCCCAAATGATGGGTGACACGTCACGTTTTACACACAGACCCCCCCATACGAAAGTCAGTAGCGAGTGCGACCTCCCTGAGCCCACAGGCAAGTACGGAGTCGGCGTGGCATGGATTCACAGAAACGTCGAACAGATGCGTCGGGGATGTTCTGCCACTCCTGCTGTAAAGCTATGGTCAACTCTGCGACGTTGTTTGGCTGACGCTGACGTTGATGGATACGGCACTCAAGCACACCCCGCAGGTGCTCTATGGGGTTAAGATATGGTGAGACGGCTGGCCAGGGATGGACTGGGATCCCTGCCTGGTGGAGGAAGTCGCTGGTAAGGCGTGCAGCGTGTGGTCGGGCATTGTCATGCTGGAATGTAAACGGCACTTGCTGATGTCCATGGAACGGGCCTTAAAATCTGGTCGACATAACGCTGTGCTGTCAGTGTACCATTAATCACAATCAGTGGACTCCGAAATCTTGCATTAATTGCCGCCCAAACCATCACACCTTCTCTACCAAAGCGGTTCCTCTCAATGCCACATCCATCTTGATAACGTTCATGTTGCCGTCTGTAAACACGTTGTCTTCCGTCTGCAAAGGACACACAGAGCCTTGATTCGTCAGAAAAGACACATTGGTTGCAGAATCGTGGTGGCTGACGGCTATGTTGTGTGCAAATTGTAGCCTGTTAGCCCGATGACGAGGTGTCATGATGTTTCCGCAGTATGGCCTCCGGCACCTCATTCCCACAGCTCGCAGACGTCTTATGACTGTCATAGCGCTGATGTGGCGTCCATGGCGTGCTACTGTGTTTCGAGCTGTGTTTGCTGGAAGTTGGCCTGGTCGTGGAGGGTCACAGACACTTCCCGTTTGCAGCTGACGTTGCTGGAGTCTGTGAATGGTGGATGGACTCACTCCAAAGTGGCGGTCGGCCTCACTCTGCGATGTTCCCACCAACAGCATCCCAATAGCTTGTTCCCTCTGTTGTTCGCCGAGCGGTGGTAGTGAAACATTTGAACCTTTTATGCGTCCATACCCAGATTATGCACGTGCATGTCATGATAACCATGCACCCCAATAGATCCAAGAAATCAGCCAGAGTTGTGTTTTCATGAATTGTCCCTATGCCAGAAACACGAAATGGGTTTGAACCCAAATGTGCAGATGAATTTCTTTGGCAACCTTACATCACATTATTTAATTGTGATAAGTGAATTTGTTTCATGAAACGTTTTTGAAAATGACCAAAATGGGTTTTGCGTTTTCAAAGTGTGTCAGTATATTTAACGTCACATCGGCAATATTTCAGCCATATCGTAACGAGAACATATATGACATTGTATATTATATAAACCTGTCATCAAAGGACATTAAAGGAAAATAACTAGAAGATCACAATCAGAATTAAAACTAGCGTTGAAAGTTAAAACTGATAGCACTATTTGGACAATACAATATACAAACAGGCTATAGATCGCCAACAACTGAAGGTAGATCACCATACTGGGGACCATGGGGTAATAAGAATACTACGTTTAAATATTCTGGTAAGTTTGAATTGACTTTGAAAGTTTTGGGACTTACGTACCCTCTCAGGAGGATTACGGTTTTAGAAGTTGTACATTTTCATAGTCCAGATATGGCTGACATACTGCCGCTGTGACTTAAAATCTGAACACAATCAATCACACAGACGATTTGTGCCAGTCTTATATCTAAATATGTGATATTATAGTTATTTTACTGTCCTTTGTTGAGGGGTATATACATTGTTTAAGTGTTTAGAAAATATATAGTTTTCATGGTCAAGATATGACTCAAATACTGTCCATGTGACTTAAAATCTTAACTCACCCTCTCCCACACACAGACGTTTGTTAGTCACAGGGTGTGGGAAGTAGAGAGCAACGTTCATAGACGTGGGATAGATCAAGGAGGGGAGCACAATTGTATGGTGTATGTGAAAACAGTATAAACAAGATCTGCACCTCTGTCTTCTCTTCTAAGTTAATAAAAACGGAGAGGTTTGTTTCACGAGATTGGGATCATATAATATGAAAAAAAGAAAAAAAAATCTCCCCAAAATATTCGACATGAATATTTTTGTGCTCCAACCTGCTGATCATTTTCATAGTGGCACGGTGTGATAAGGGGATATTAAAGCTCGTATAATGTGTGGTGTGTTGCTACAGGGCATTAAGTATGAACAAATATACCTA